TGGCTTTTGTAGATCTTGAGATGAAAAACCGTGACAGATGCACACACGGACACACAGACACACAGACACAGACACACACACGCACAGACAATCTCTCGTCAATATGCGTTTTTCGCATTGCATTGCTACAAAAAATGCATAAAAAGTCAAAAATCCCTTCCGTATTTATTCCCAGTGCAAGTCAATGGTATTCGGGAAGTACCCCGCGCAGTGGGGGATGCTAAGAGGAACCACCCACCGGCAGAGCTCTCGATGGATTGCTCATTCGAAGGTTACTTACAAGCAAGCTGATGGCAGGTTTGACTCCCTGATATATGCCAATACAAAATTACCACCGAAACGAATAAAAGAATCATAAAAGAACTTGTTGCCCCACCGGCGGCGTCGAATCTTATGCACAAATTCCATCCGAATAGTTGATGTAGATATCTTTGTTGATGGTGTTACTGAGATGCTCTAACAACTTAGAGTGCCAAGCTATTTGTTCATGAGATGCATATCTCCAATTAGTTCCTAGCACTCATTCGGTGGATATAATGTTTAAAAGGATATGTTTGAAAACTGAATTAACTACTAGAACTAAAGGTTGACTTTAACTGTGGTCCACAGGATCCATTACTAAGCGAGGTGTTGGAAAGCAGAGATTGCTGTTGGATTTGGCACAACTAAAGCTGCTACGACATCTCTGATGCAAAACGTGGGCGTTCAGCATTGAATGAGACGAGTAGTATTTTCGTGATTTATAAACTTTGAAAGCAAGCATTAAAATAGAATTTAAGGAACTGGATAATTCTATTAATAAAAAAGCTCATTTATAGGATCAGAAGAACACTTGGACAGTCTTGATGAAGGACAAATTATTGGACTTCACCTGTCATCCCAAATTTTCCTACACGACATGGAAAATATGTTCGCGACAATAGAACCGGAAGTAGTCTACTAAGACTAATCTAGAAAAATTCTGCAAAGTCATCTTTACTGCAAGTCTCGCATTTTTATCTTATATTTTTGTATTTTAATGTATAACATCTTAAAGATTTTCCAGCATTTCTATGAATACCACTTTTTCCAAATTATACCGGAGACTGAAATTTTGATTATTCTGTTTTACTGCAATATTTCTTCTCAGCATGAATGATTCTACAAACTTTTTCATCGTCTTCTTCGAACACTTGCCGCCTTCATTCTTTCAAAATTAACATTCGAGTAGTCCTTTCGACCATAGTAACAACCGTCCAGAAACGGTTTTCATTAAACATTGCTCAGATTTTGATCTGTTTTTCGTTTTGTTCATCTTTGTTTCTTATTTCTCAGAAATGACCATCTCAGTTTTGCTTCGTAGCGTGCAGATCATCTCTCACGTCAGGTCAAATTTTTGCCCGCTGGAAATATATCGGAATCTAGCGCT